ACGAATTCGTCCAGTCCTAATTGACCTGTGATATTATTACTGACGAATTCGTCCAGTCCTAATTGACCTGTGATATTATTACTGATGAATTCGTCCAGTCCTAATTGACCTGTGATATTATTACTGATGAATTCGTCCAGTCCTAATTGACCTGTGATATTATTACTGACGAATTCGTCCAGTCCTAATTGACCTGTGATATTATTACTGACGAATTCGTCCAGTCCTAATTGGCCTGTGATATTATTACTGACGAATTCGTCCAGTCCTAATTGACCTGTGATATTATTACTGACGAATTCGTCCAGTCCTAATTGGTCTGTGATATTATTACTGATGAATTCGTCCAGTCCTAATTGACCTGTGATAATATTACTGACGAATTCGTCCAGTCCTAATTGACCTGTGATAATATTACTGATGAATTCGTCCAGTCCTAATTGACCTGTGATATCATTATTGATGAATTCGTCCAGTCCTAATTGACCTGTGATAATATTACTGATGAATTCGTCCAGTCCTAATTGACCTGTGATATCATTATTGATGAATTCGTCCAGTCCTAATTGACCTGTGATGATATTACTGATGAATTCGTCCAGTCCTAATTGACCTGTGATATCATTATTGATGAATTCGTCCAGTCCTAATTGACCTGTGATATTATTACTGACGAATTCGTCCAGTCCTAATTGGCCTGTGATATTATTACTGATGAATTCGTCCAGTCCTAATTGACCTGTGATATTATTACTGATGAATTCGTCCAGTCCTAATTGACCTGTGATATTATTACTGACGAATTCGTCCAGTCCTAATTGACCTGTGATATTATTACTGACGAATTCGTCCAGTCCTAATTGGCCTATGATATTATTACTGACGAATTCGTCCAGTCCTAATTGACCTGTGATATTATTACTGACGAATTCGTCCAGTCCTAATTGGTCTGTGATATTATTACTGATGAATTCGTCCAGTCCTAATTTGCCTGTGATATTATTACTGACGAATTCGTCCTGTCCTAATTGGCCTGTGATATTATTACTGATGAATTCGTCCAGTCCTAATTGGCCTGTGATATTATTACTGATGAATTCGTCTAGTCCTAATTGGTCTGTGATATTATTACTAATGAATTCGTCCTGTCCTAATTGGCCTGTGATATTATTACTGATGAATTCGTCCAGTCCTAATTGGCCTGTGATATTATTACTGACGAATTCGTCCAGTCCTAATTGACCTGTGATATTATTACTGATGAATTCGTCTAGTCCTAATTGGTCTGTGATATTATTACTGATGAATTCGTCCAGTCCTAATTGGTCTGTGATATTATTAGTGATGAATTCGTCCAGTCCTAATTGGCCTGTGATATTATTACTGATGAATTCGTCTAGTCCTAATTGGTCTGTGATATTATTACTGATGAATTCGTCCAGTCCTAATTGGCCTGTGATATTATTACTGATGAATTCGTCCTGTCCTAATTGACCTGTGATATTATTACTGATGAATTCGTCCAGTCCTAATTGACCAGTGATATTTTTACTGATGAATTCATCTAGTCCTTACTGTACTCTACATCTGGACTCTTATATTTTTATTGACGAAGGTCGACCAGGAAAGTCAGGCAGATTAAATGCAATTTCCTTGGTATTTATTACTTTAAGTGAAGCAAAAAGTTCATTACATTATAACAAGAATGTTCGTTAATGGTGTTGTTTTATCGAAACTTATCGAAGGTACTTGACGGTTATTGAATTATTACAAGAATTTCTAAACAAAATATTTTCACTGTTATACATCTATTGTCGATCGATATAAAAATATTAAAACTGAACCTGAAACATGCTGTTACGCAGACTTCAGTACTGTGCTATCTATCTCGAACCTTCTGATCAGTATTGGGATACCTGGAATCATACAGACACAAGTTTCGAGATTTTATTGTGTTTCTACCAGTTGNGTC